TTCCCCCCCCCCCCCTAATGAATTATTGGGCAAAATTATCGCCAGTTTTATTAATTTCACCACAATGCGCGAGTAGAAAGTTTTATTCAAATTGTTTTCATAAACAACGGGCAAACAATTGATTTGTGAAAAAAATACTTTGCATTGCAATCAGTGCCCATGGAGACTTTCACTATCAGCCAAAATGATCTCTCTCTCGAACAGGTATATAATTATACGCTCGCATACGGGTTAGTACCTACATACGGCTGCAAAAAAAAAGAAAAAAAAAAAAAAGTTGTTTCAAATATTCAAGTGCAACTCCAGATTCCCGTCGCGCGTTATGATGGTTGTTTGTTCGGCGAGACACACACGAACGATGAAACAAAAAAAAACCCGAGTCAAGTCCTAGTCGAGCAGGACGGCTTTATTATAACACAAGTCGCTCGCTTTCTAAATAACGCGGGCTGACTTTCGTTTTTTGCTTCAAGTACATTTCCAATTTTTTTTTTTTTTTATCTTTTCCACTGCTCGTTTTAAAGTCGTTCCATCTGATTTCATATCTAAGACGCGCGTGCGCCACGTGCGTGCACATCACGACAAACCATCACGCTGTGCTGAGGAAATCCAGCCTTCAGAAAGTTACCCCAGTGAGTATGTATACTTTTTGCACAAGTGAAAAAGGAGAGAGTTCGTGATGCTTACATAGTATTATGCGGTGCACGGTTCACCGGAAACTGTTATGGCTGGTCACGGCGACGACGGCAAAGTCGGATCATCCGGTTTGTATCGTGTCCTATACGTGGTGCGCAAATTTTATTCTTACCGTCGCGGAAAACGCCAATCCAGGGGGGCTTCTTTGCAAAGTTTGTCAAATGCTTGGGACATCAATTTGCAAACCAATCTAATTTATTGTATCTTTTTTTTCCACGAACAAGTTGTAAATAAGCAAGCACGCGAGCGTCAAAAATCAACGTAAATTTGTGGTCTGTCGGGCTGAAAGAAAAGAAAATTCATCGACTCCCATTTATCACTTGTACTATATTCTTGTTCGGTTGCGTAACGAGCCAGCCGTGGGTTTTATTATTTTATACACCCGGTGACTGATTGAACTTGGCTGCAATGCACGTGCGACGTAAATAATTGCATAATGCGGCGATGCTATGGATATACGATGATACACCCGCGTTGGTATTGTGAGCCGAAAATTCAATTTTTCGCCCGCGGCTACGCGTACAGGTATACATCTAATGTATTTACAGCAAACGCGTGGTTATATTGCCTCTTAAATGTTACGTACGTATACGACTCTTGCTTCTTTTTTTTTCTCTCTCCTACGAATTTTTATAATAATTATTTTGTACAATTAAAATGATCTTTTCATTCGCGTATCGCGTGCACGCAAAAACCATTGGCATTGCTCATGCTGTTTTTCTTTTCCGTCTGAAAAGTCGCGAGTACGAAACTTTGCATCAAAAGGAGATTAAAAATTGTATTTATCGCCGAGTAAAGCGCGAAAGGCGCACCGAAGCCTTGAGATCGCGTGCATAATATTTGTCGCAAAGTTTTTCGGTCCTTGAACGATGGACGCGAAAAAACTCGTCGATGCATAAACTCTGGGGTGAGAAAAAAAAAAAAAAAAAAAAAAAAAAAATGTATTTTTTACACACGCAAATGAAGTACACGTGCAAGTAAGTGTTTCCCCCCATGTCTCTTGTTTTTCCTCCCCATGTCCAGAGCGAATAAATCGCGCGTCGCGCAATACTCGCGTACACGGTATTACAAGGACCTCGAGACTATTAGGCAACAACTAGACACGACAAACACTTGTCCTCTCTCTCTATCCACGAATTCATCGGAATCTTCAAAGTGAAAACCCTGGAGGCTCGTTGTTTGCTCGCGTGCGGTTGTATGTGCATTGTATAATATTATATACGCTGATAGGTAGGTATACCCGGACTCGACAATTTTATTGGATTATACACTATTGCACGAGTCGGTGCTGCAGGCTCTCTGTACCATACTTGCGCGTGAGGATAGTACAGCCGTGTTTTTAACAAGCACCTCTCTCTCTCTCTTTCTGCATCAAAGTACAGAGGGTTGCTTTTTTTCACATCAGACACGCTTTTCCTGCACGTTTTTGTCCTTTCGATGCAACCCAGCTCGTTAACAAACAGAGCCCAAAAAACAGAGTTATTTCTCGATTTTCCGATCATTCAAATGTCAGCTCAATTTTTTTTTTTTTTTTTTTTTTTTTGTTTATCGAGTGAAACAAGAGATGCACCATTATAATATTATATCTGCGTTGCTACGAGCGCAAATAATAGCTCGTACGCATGACAAAATTTGCACAGCGCGTCTCTATAATAATTAGCAAACAATACGTAAGTAGGTATACATAATGTATACCATTTACTGTTGTACGCAGGGCATTTAGTATCCATATGCATGTACAGGCATACATTGCATCGTAGGTAGTTTGTTACTTTTTTTTTTTTTTTTTTTTTTTTTCTCCTCTTCCGCAGACAATTTCTCAGATTTCGTATACACATACGCATACGCAGGCACAATTTTTTTTGGTAAATTGTCATGGTGATGATACCCACCACGAGGGGGGTGTGGTTTCGGGCCGAGATATCAGTACCCGCGGGCACCGTCGTCCGAGGATTCTTTTTGAGACATTATACCTGGTATAAGCAAAGACTCGATGGACTTTACCGCAGTAATGGCATATTATACTTGAAAATGCATCGACGATCGTGCAAATGGACGCACCGGCTATCCGCTTGAAGAAAAAAAAAAAAAAAAAAAAACCTATCGTATCAAAAATGACTTTTCGAGCGCCTCATCATAATAACACTGTTTTTGCAAATCACCGGATAAAATGTAACATACATAAATGTGCACTTCAACGTGTCTCTGTAATTATAGCGAACGAGGAAAATGTACGAAGAGCCGATAAAAACTAAGCTGCGCAATTTGTCTTCGATCGCGAAAATCTGTTTCATTGGCGCTGGCCCGCGTCACGCGCTACTTGCACATGATTTTCCTCAACACCTCCAAGTATCATTAGGTATACAGGTGAAAACACTCATCAATGGAGTCCAAATAAAAAAAAAATATATATATATGTACAAATAAGTATCCACAAGAGCACAAAGGGGGTGCAAAATAAGCGAGAAAACATGCACGCGCGCGCGAAAGACGAGGTGAGAGTCGACCGACAAAAGGCCGTTAAACGTCATGAGCTCCAAACAAATGTGTTTGCAAAACCGAGGATCTCGCACATCTCTTTTGCTCGGGGGCATATACTTAAGGTATTGTATGAACATCTTTGTAAACGCATTTTACGGACATATATTTCTGTAAGGACCACGCGTGCCCCATACAGATCCACGCCACGCGGTACGTACACACATCATATCGAGCATCACTTACAGCGGTGGCGAGGCGTTACGAAAATCTATCTTAAATTGCATTATCGCGATGCGCGTGTACCGTTGTAACTTGGCTCTAGATGAAAAACGGACAGAAGCACAAAACTTCACAGCGACCCGAGTAGCAATTATCAACCGAATGATATATACATTCGCCGCCCGTTTAATTCGAACGCGCGACTATACGTGCATTGGCGCGCAATTCCCGAAAATTGCACGAATCTGATGGAAGTAGTTTTCCCTGCACCGGTAATCTCGGGTAATCTAGAGCCAATTTGACGCTACACCTGCAAACGCGTACTCGTCGATTGCGGTTCTCGGAAAATTTCACTGTCGCAACCCCGCGCTCTATGTATATACTTACTGGTATTTTTTTTTCTTCGATTGCCCGACAAAATCCGGCATTTGCGATGCTTATTAGCGATTGATCAAGAGCTGGGTGTTTTGCAATTGACTATGGACGAAGAAAAAGAAAGAAATAACGGACCCTTGCGAAACACCCTCTTCCCCCTCGTTTTTCTTTTTTTTCGGTCTATTGTATATACACACGCTGTGTTTTGGGGTTTGTCGCACGAGCCAAGCGTTACAGAACATCCAGGTTGACATTGCAGCTTGACTTTTACTTGAATGTATTTTTTTTTTACCCGTTTCATTACTCGATAAAAAACACGTCACCTAGATACCTACTGCGACCACGTGGTCGTCGTGATAAAAAAAAAAAAAAAAAAACTTGTTTAAAACACGCGGATGAATAATATTAAAAAAAAATAAACGCGCCACATGAATTAAAATGAACCTTTCAAGATAACTTCATTCTTGTGTTGGTATGTAGAGTTGTTTTAATATGTTGTGGCTCTCGATTGCGCTTAGCAAAGCTCGAAAGCCAATTCAACGAGACACAACCTGTGCAGGAAAAAAAAAGAAAAAGTACTATTCCACCCGAGTAATTTTCGAGAAATGATTTTCTTGGGCCTTTGCGTGCACTTTTTTTACTCAACGTACAGGTACTGCGCGTAATGTATATGATAATATATTGTGTACCTCTGCGCAAAGAACGGAACAGAATTATACGTACGTGCGGATCAGCAGTATAGCCCATTACAACATTATTCGTAAACGCAAGCGAGAAGTTTTGCTGTACATATAAAACTTTACTTTATCTGAGAAAAAAAAAACCTGTTGCTCCGGCTGTACACGTGTATGTTATGTGTTTGCACAATCGTGCTAACTCGCGACAGGACCCTGATCTTTA